AATATCTTGATGACTTATTTCTACATAGCTGTCATCAAAGAACAGAAAATTTTAAAGAACATTTTCTGAAATTTCATTTACATAATTAGAGTAGCCACTGTTTAAAAAAAAATTAAAATAAATTCTCATTAAAATGACAAAATTGTAATTGCTCAAGACAAGAAAAAATGCTTTGTCATGCTTATAAAGCAAATCCCCCAAAACGTCAACCCAAAATCTATGTTCTTGACAGAAATATTCCCTGTAAATACAAGTTCATTATGTCAAAGAATGCATTAATTAAACAAAAAACTGTTATAGATGTAAAAACCCTCAGATCTAGAAAATGACTTCACTAATAAATTCCCCGTCTGTGACAGGCACACAGAGAGAGGGCACTGCTGGTAGTCACGTATGTCACAGACAGGGAACGGCTTCATAACCATCTGAACCACAACAACCAACAGGATGTAGTTCTATCAATAACTCAGCCTCTAACAGTTAGTTGTACTTCTATTTAGGACATCAAAAAAATTTAATGAAATGAATATCATCAAAATATTTTAACATATTTTCATAATTAACTTACATATTTATATATTTATAAATTAAACTTTTGAACAGATATTTTCATAATTAACTTACATATTTAATTTATATATCTATAAATTAAACTTTTGAATTGATATAAGCTGGAGGATTTTAAAAATCTTCACTATATGCTTTCTCCTCAAAATCAATACATTTTTAAAATTATTTTATAGATTATTTTTGGAAAATCAACAAATATTATATGTTCAATCTTATTAATTTTACTTAAATTATATTCACTTTTGTTATATAATTCAAAATGTCTTTCCAAATTGCCCATACAGCAAAACTCAGTTACAATGAAGTCACTGGGACCTATGAAATTACTTTGATATATCCATAATTCATTATAGCAGTACAAGAAATTCATTAAATTTATATAGCTGGGGATCCAAGATAACTTCGCTATATCCGTAAATTCGCAATGTCTGTGTTCGTACTAAGCGAGTTTTGCTGTAACACTGAACTTAAATCGAAAAAAAATAATTTATACAAATAAAAATTAGTTGAGACTCCATTTTATCTAAAAATAGTTTTAATATCTCTTCATGATTTCAAAAAAAATAAAATTGTTTGTAGCATGGCTACATCACCATCTTCTAAGAAAAGAATCGGGTTTTTGGAACATTGCATTACCATTCCCCTCTTAAAGACTTGAGACATTTTTTTATGTTACTTATTTTTACTTGCTCGTCAAAAGTTAAAGGTTGAATTTATTTACTTTAAACACACTGTCAATACCCTAGTAAGATTTCTCTCTGGAGAGTCCATCACCACAGACAGAAATTTATAAATAAAAGTAATGAAAAATTCAATACATCTTCTTTATATTTTTTGCTTCAAAATTGTTTTGCCATGTTGACATTTGAACTCTCTGACTTGTTCTTTGTATTTATGTAGATAGAATCATCTGCCCAGCTTTATTTGCAACATTGCTAACACAGGCAACAAATTTTGTTGTTAAACTATACTTCAATGATTATAGTTAACTCTATATAAAGATCTGCCGAATGTCATTATTTGATCTGTATGGCAGTACGTGTCTTCGAAGGAAGTTTACAAAAACCATGCATGAAAAACAACAAACAACTAACATCAACCAGTAAAAAATGATAGAATAAAATAATGAACAAAAAAATTCATAATGTGAAAACCAATGCAATTCATTTAATTTACATCTTGTTTTCTTATTCTCATCACATACATAATCCATTTACTTTTTTTTACCTGAAACTTTTTAAGCTATGAAAAGCTGAGTTTTATTTGAGTTTAATAGGTAAACTATATATATAACTGGTTTATCACTAGCTAATTACATAAATTGACCATGTTTAAAGGATACCATAAATCTGGAAATTTTTACTGTAGATAAATTTTAAGCAAATTTGCATGTCAATTGCAATTGCAACAAGAGGCCCACGGGCCTTATAGGTCACCTGAGCATCATGCAACAACTTTCAAATGATTGAATTTGGTTTATGTTTTAAGCTAGATGCTATGGCATTCACAATTTTGAAAGAGGCACCATTGCTAATCATAACTTTACACTTAGCAATTGTTTAGTTTGATTACTTAATACCCATAAGCAGGGTAGGGGAACAAAAATGTATGTCAACTAATCAGTAATATTCAGCGTAATATTCAGCAATAATCAGGAGTGCTCCTACCACACATGAAATCCTGACCCTAGGTCTACACATTGCACAATTTTTGAAAAGGCACACTTGCTTATCAAAATTACTTCATTAATACCAAGGAGTAGATTTCAAACAATTCATTTTCAGTATATAAGTGTTTTGGTATCCCTGACCCAGGGGCCTTGAAATTCGCAAGTCTGGAAGAGGAACCCATCATAACTAAACAAATAGTTCATCTGCTTATTACCCAGAATTAGAGAAAAAGATTTTCATAGATATAATAGATGTAATGTATTTTCACTATATAATCATTATAGAGCCCCGCCCTAACACCATAACCCCTGACCCTGGGGCCATAAAATTCACAATTTTGGTAGAGGCACTCTTGCTCATCATAACTATGAACTTAATAAGTTTATTTAATACCTAGGAGCAGAGAAGAAGATTTTCAAAGATTTAATGTATTTTCACTATATAATCAATAGAGTCACGCCCTAACACCATAACCCCTGACCCTGGGGCCATAAAATTCACAATTTTGGTAGAGGCACTCTTGCTCATCATAATTATGAACTTAATAAGTTTATTTAATACCTAGGAGCAGAGAAGAAGATTTTCAAAGATTTAATGTATTTTCACTATATAATCAATAGAGTCACGCCCTAACACCAGAACCCCTGACCCTGGGGCCATGAATTTCACAATTTTGGTAGAGGCACTCTTGCTCATCATAACTATGTACTTAGTTAGTTTATTTAATACCTAGGAGCAGAGAAGAAGATTTTCAAAGATTTAATGCATTTTCACTATATTATCAATAGAGCCACGCCCTAACACTAGAACTCTTGACCCTGGGGCCATGAATTTCACAATTTTGGTAGAGGCACTCTTGCTCATCATAACTATGTACTTAGTTAGTTTATTTAATACCCAGGAGCAGAGAAGAAGATTTTCAAAGATTTAATGCATTTTCACTATATAATCAATAGAGCCCAGCCCTAACACCAGAACCCCTGACCCTGGGGCCATGAAATTCACAATTTATGTAGAGACACTCTTGCTCATCATAACTATGTACTTAGTTAGTTTATTTAATACTCAGGAACAGAGAAGAAGATTTTCAAAGATTTAATGCATTTTCACTATATAATCAATATAGCCCCGCCCTAACACCATAACCCCTGACCCTGGGGCCATAAAATTCACAGTTTTGGTAGAGGCACTCTTGCTCATCATAACTATGAACTTAATAAGTTTATTTAATACCCAGGAGCAGGGAAGAAGATTTTCAAAGATTTAATGCATTTTCACTATATAATCAATAGAGCCCCGCCCTAACACCAGAACCCCGACCCTGGGGCCATGAATTTCACAATTTTGGTAGAGGACTTAATGCTGATTACAATCATACCAACAGCTTGACTGTTTGATGTCCAGGAGTAAAGAAGAAGATTTTTAAAGATTGCACTAATTTTAGTGGTTTTTGCCCCACCCCCCAGGCCCCAGGGGGGCAGGGACCACGAAATTCACAATTTTTGTTCCCCTTCACGCATAGATGCAATATGCCAAAATTGGTTGAAATTGGTTCAGCGGTTTCAGAGAAGAAGCTGAAAATGTTTAAATGTTAACGCACGACGCACGACGGACGACAGACGACGGACGACGACGGACAAAAACAGATAGCAATAGGTCACCTGAGTTTACTCAGGTGACCTAAAAATATTTTCCTTAATAATTAATCAACAAAAGATGTAAAATAAAACTTTTCTGACAGCTTGTCTCTTTTTCTAACCTGGTGCAGTGATCATTTTAAGAAACCTGTTCCTGTTTATACTACCAGCTAATTAACCGAAATAATCTGTGTGTGGAGAGTGCCTTCACTACATTTGATATCAATGGGTAGTTTGACAGACAGTATGTCTCTTTTAAATTATATTTTCCTGAGAAGGAGGGGCCGTTTTTTTTTTTATTTTATCTAACAACAAATCCCTAGCACGGCAATAGCACTGTTGGAAAGTCGATCATGACACAAAAAAGAGCTGTAACATCAACAATTCATAACTTATGGCCAGGGTACACACATAGTACAATTTTCAGTTAACCTTGGACTTTCAGTAACGCATGATATTTTCGACGTTACATAATTAGCGTCTGAAATTTACACAGCCTTTCATTCACTGTTCTTGCAAATGTCAACAAGTGTGTCAATGATCCAATCACAGCATTTGGTACGGCAGAGAGGTGGGGCGTACTAAGTCATCTCATCCTTGTCAACAACAATTTCATAACATAAGAATTTCCAGATTTACAGTAATGACAGCTGAACAGCAGTGTCAATGTTTTGCTATGGGAAACCCAAAATATTTCATATCTCCGATCAAAAAGTAAAATAGGAAGTCACAATGACACTATGTAATCAAAGAATCTGTGAGAGTTTTATTAAATTTCATTCAGAGGATCGAGTTATGGATAAGAGAGGGGTAACCCAAATGTAACAGAAGGATGGACCTACAGACAGCTAGGTGGACAGATGTCGCTATCACTATATAGTATACCCTCCAACTTTTCAAACAGGGGGTATAATAAACACCAGCTTTCAGCGAAATTTTTGTTTAAAATTTTTATTGTTGATTTATTTTTGAGTTTGAGTAAAATATTTTTGCAAATGTATTGCACATACAAATTTTCTTTAAAATTATCTACATTAAAAAAAATTCCCGATTTACGGTATTATTTTTTGATAACCCATTAAATCCCAAATATAGAAGTAGTGGCACTACATGCAATACATACCCTTCTCGATATACTGCTTCATTTGTAAGTAGTTCAAAATTAGCTCCAGCAGAGAATTCTTGTCCATTTTCTGCAAAGTGGATTTTTCAAAGGGAAGTAATTCTATCAGACTAGTCATTTCCTCTGCCTCTTTGTCTCGCCTGCCCTGAGCTGCAATCCTTGATTTCTCAGCCCTATAAAAATTACTTGTATTATCTTGCTTTCCATCATCAAAATTAAATTAATTCTATTTTAAAATTATTTACTATTTTGAACTCTCTTTACAAGACGTTTCAATATATTATTCAATGATAAATGCGTTTAAATATCATAGTCATCAATATGTGGTATAAACAATCCATTATTCTACAATATCTATAAAATAAATTGAGTCTTTTATGCATGTATTGATGTAATAAGAAACTTATTTCTTTGTGTACTTTATTTTACATATACTTCAACACATACATGTATCTGTTTGTTGTATATATATCTAGTCTATCTTGCAGATAGTGTACCTACCTACACTATCATATGGATATATATTTACATATAAGTAAATATCAATAAGTTACTGTTTTCATTCATTTTACTGTCATTTTGCTATCAATAATCAATGTTCTATTGTTTATAAGTCTGGATACAAACCTCGTCAATTTTCTTCCTTTTACTCTCACATCCTGCTTTCCTAATTGCTCCACATTCTCTATCAACTGATTGTTGTCTTGAACAGACAACATCTTTATTCTGAAAAATAAATACACATATAAAATATTAAGAGTAAATAATAATAATACAAAATTGTTATCTTCATACTCATAGAATCTCTAAATTTACAATCATAATTTGGGAATGGGTTTTCTCCCTCCAATCCATTTTCATTGTCTCATATTGTTTGTTTCTGTTACATTCATGAAATCTAATCAATGATATTTTATCAGTACAATCATGAAATAATGTAACACAAAATCTCCCAAAGGGGGAAAAATTGAATGAAAGTCAATGACTGTATTTTCTGTAATATTTTTATTGATGATAAAATATGACTATATATTCATTGCATCTTTTGCTTTGCATCCGTCTGTAAACTCAGAGAACTTTGGGTGTTCTAACAAGTACTACTTAATAAGATCACATAATGATTCTGGTACTACACCAAATACAAGTCATCACTTTTGAATGTACTTTAAGCATACTTTTTTTTCACAGGGACTTGTCTACTTGATACCATGTAATCATAATTTCTGTCCAGTCTATGGGGTAGAATTTATGCTGATTTCTTGGGTTACATTTATATGACTTATGTACACTAAGACAAATTTCCATGGACAAACTTTAAGTTCATGAGATCAGATATATAGTAGATCAGATATATAGTGTAAATTAATCCAACATGGAAAAGAAAACATCTACAGTACTTGAAAGTTGACATTTGATCTTGATCAGCCAAAAACTTTCATGGCCAATAAAATTTATTTTTACTAGTATGAACATCTGCTAAGAATAAAAAGCTATTCATAGAAAAAACTCCTTTTTCAGGGTTCTAACACTCCTTTTTGATACAGGGGCAGGGTCAATTACAATTAAGTAAAATAAGAATGTTTTATAAAAACAATTTAATAAACCAAATACTAAAAGTCTAATTAAAAGATATTAATTTGTTTATGAACAATTTGAAAGTGATGCAAGAGTATTAAAATTCAAAAGTACCATTAGAGTAATATCAGATTCATTAAAGACATAATATTGGATTTAAAGAAGAAGTGAACAAATAGTATCAATCATATGATAATACAATAATAAAATAAACATGTATATACATTTTCATCAACTTAATTGTTATACTTACCTTCTAAATTTCATTTGATTTTCAAAACCTGTTGTTGTGTTATAATTTATAAAGCCCATTCACATCTATATCACACAATGATTATGCTTATTTTCACCAAAGAACCTACGAACAATGATCAGCAAAGAATAATAATTACCCATAAAAAGGAAGAAACCGTCCTGCATGAGTGAACACCGATTACGAAGGTAGTATCTTCGCCAGCCCAGGTGTATTTAGATTACGTAATAATATTCTTGCAGCATAAATAGTGTCAATAATATCTAAAACACGGTTTATACAGCGAATTCATTCATATTTTACTGTTTTAAACTTAAATAGGTCATGTTATGACCGACATTATTTCTATACCTGAAATTTGACAGTGCTAACCACCTTGGAAATTTACTCACTTTTTATATACAGACATTTTTATCCTTTACACCATTCAACCAAGTTTCAGTCTCCAATTTTCTTGTACAAACATTCTTAACGTATGAACTCAAAACATAATAAATTATCAAAATATTTTGATAAACTTTTTCAGTCCTCCATTGCTAACATCACAATGACGGCGATTATCCCCAAAATCTTTAGTCATGAAAACGTTTGTTTTCGGTGCACTTGTACGCGGATATGTTTTGCTCATGATACTTTCAGCGTTTTGCTTGATAGAAAAAAAAAAACTTCGAATTTGAGCTTTTGTCATATCGTGAGTCTTTATTCAATGTCATTAAAAACTATAGAAATACATCATAATACAAAAACAGAGACAGAGAGGTAAACAAAGACCCCCTCCCCCATTTAGTATAGCATGAGACCCTACCAACATGAAATACGTTCAGTAAAAAAATAAATTTATAAAGTATATATAAGAAAACATTAAATGCCCATTCCCTTTGCAGTGACGTAGTATCGTTCTTGAAAGGGGACAGCCAAATAAAAAGTAAATCACTGGAAAAAAAAAACTTCTTACACCCCCCCCCCCAAAAAAAAAGAAAGAAAGAGGAATTACAATTGTTCATCCTCGAAATCTAATTCGGAGGGGAGGGAGGGTTGGGTTGGGTATGGTTCAAACTGCTTTGAGTACCATTTTTTTTTAATTCAAACATTTAGGACGTTACCCTTATGCAACCAGAAGTGGGAAGGGGGGGGGGCTTTCAATGAACTTTGTAAAGTTAAAACATGTCTGGAAAGAAGTGGGCATGGTGGGGGAGGGGCACCCCCATACTACGTGTATAAATACAAACTTACATTTAATGTTACACTCCATGAAAGTAAACAAAAAAATAATAATAACGTTTTCTATGATATCAACTTTCCTTGAATCTAACCTTATAGATATCAATGTTAAGTGATAGCAAAAGATTTTACTTTATATGTTATAATTATAATAATTGAGTAATAAAAAAGAACTAAAATACGATATATTGTAGATTTCTTATTTTTCGCGACTACTCATTATCGCGAATTAAAATAATTAATAATTAGTGCCATAGAAATAAAAGCGAGAAATTTCATTTCGCGAGTGATGCTTCTCGCGAAATTACGGGATAAAGAATTCATCGCGTATGATTAGGAATCTACACTAGCCTAAGCTGCATAAAAAAGCAAGCAAATTATCTCTGATTGCCTGGACACCTGTATAGCTCATTGTGTTGAGGTTCATTCGCATTTCTTGAAAATATAGTTATTAAAAACTGATATTACTTTACCTATATTATGTGATTTACTATAATGATTAACTTTGAAGAAATATCGTAAATAAAAACACATTACTTTTGAAATGAGGGACATCTTGGAGCAGAACCAGAGGAACTACCGTACCTTACAGTGGCGGATCCAGAAATTTTGAAAAGGGGGGGCCCGACCAGTTTGAGGTCAGGGTGGGGGCCCACAGCCACACCAAAAAACATTGATTTGTCAAATATCTTGTATTTTTTGGACTCAAAAGGGGGGGCCCAGGCCCCCTGGGCCCCCCCCTCTACATCCGCCACTGCCTTAAGCTTAAAAATCTAAGATTTAATTTTATCCCTTGGATCACAAAATCTTTACCAGGGCTTCGCCGTGGCCTGGACCATCGCTAGCTTAACGCGGGACCAGACCCCTTCACCATGTTCACTTGCTTCAATGCAAAATTCACACACACACACACACACACACACTCCCTAGCCATTTAGAACTCCCTAAAGGACTTTTAATCATGATACATGTATTCTCGAGATACTTTTATATTCATTTACTTGTGGAGAACATGCATTGATTTTTGGTAATAAACATAAACAGAATCAGATTCATCATTTCGAAAATTCGATTTATTTGATTTTTTTTGCTTTAGACTGGCCTGACTGTCTGACATGGGATATAATCATGATGCGTTTCCTCTGTTTTTGTTCGGAATCACATTTTAGGTACGAGTTACTTTGCACACAAACGAAAAAAAATGGCTGCGCCGGTGACTGATTCTGTTCGTGAAAAGGCTTTGGCAGACTACAGAAAAAAGCTACTCGAGCACAAAGAATTGGAGGCAAGACTCAAAGAAAGTACGAAGTATTTTATTTAATATTCAATTTAATCAGGGAAGTTTTAATATGGCAAGATTCCCATTTTTCAAATTGTGCTTAGTCATATAGGCATAATCACAGGGACTTGCTCCCGGCGTGTAATAATTATTTATTAAAAAAATCATATACCGTAATAATAAAACTACACAAGGGAGGACGCCATTTTGGACCCCTTCCTCGCTTCAACCTCTGTTTTCGTTATATTTTGCCGTATTTTACTGACTCACCGCCACGGATCTTTCAAGAAATGATTATTCTAAGACCTTATGCTGAAATTTCCCCCTTGGAGCCTCTTCAATACACATTTCAGACTAAAAATAATCCAAACTCGATCGATAGGACAGTTGGTATGGACAGAAAGTGAAAACACATTCGGTTACCTCGGGGTTTTTCCACTATTTAAAACAACTGCTAATTATAAATTTGAAAAAACCGCGTTCTAATTCCGTATTCGAATGTAAAACGCCGAGGTTACTTTCGCTTTCTGTCCATACCAACTGTCCTATCGAGCGAGTTTGGATTATTTTTAGGGCTGGATCAATATATCGGTAATCGGTATATATCGATATTTTTTAGCAATACGATAACCGATACAGAGATGCTTGCGTATTGCTCGATTATTTCAACGTTTAAATAAGAGAAAGAAAAAACGTCAAAGTGACTAATATTACGAACAGGTTATCTAAAATCGCATACATGTAAACATGTCAAAAGTGTAGGGTCGCTACGTAAAAGTTAGCAGCAAAAAGGCAAAATGTTATTATATTTGTCAAGAAGAAGTCGCAAGTTCTGGTGGAACAATGAGCCTATATATTATTACCCATCTCAGACGGCATCGCAACATTGACCTGTTTGCTACTGTGAAACTTGGAGGCAATTCCGGTAGGTAAAATGGTGCGTCGAAAAAAAAGTCATAGAATGAAAACCGATAATAAGATATCAATCAGAATTTTTAAGTCATAGTTTATTTTAACTCAAAGCAATTTGGTAAAATATTTTATCTGCCATTACTTCCACGAATACGACATCAAGTGAAGTATCAACAGAGTCAAACAGGTCAATGTTGTGATGTCGTCTGTGGCTTCAGAACGAGTATTTAGCACCAGTGGCAACATATTTACATGCAGAAGGACTTGTCTGAAACCTGACTAAGCGGATCGATGCCTTGATTTTTCTGAAGGAAAGTATGGGCAGATAACATGAATCTGTCATACACTTGTCCATTCAAAGAGAATGAAAAAAAAAACAAGGATTTAAAATGTTTTATTATTGTAAATTTTTGCTTTAATCAAAAAATACTATCACCTCTTTAAAACAACATGCAAAAATAGTGTATTCTCATTTGTCTGTATCAGCAAAATGTATCGCATATCGCACCTCTGTATTGCAATATGTATCGTATCGAAAAATTTCTTTCAATACCCAGCCCTAATTATTTTTAGTCTGAAATGTGTATTGGAGAGGCTCCAAGGGGGAAATTTCAGCATAAGGTCTTAGAATAATCATTTCTTGAAAGATCCGTGGCGGTGAGTCAGTAAAATACGGCAAAATATAACGAAAACAGAGGTTGAAGCGAGGAAGGGGTCCAAAATGGCGTCCTCCCTTGTGTAGTTTTATTATTACGGTATATGATTTTTTTAATAAATAATTATTACATGCCGGGAGCAAGTCCCTGTGGGCATAATCATGATAATGATACTCTATGGAAACATGGGTGCCTGATGTGCGGATACCACAGGCACTTGTTTCAGTAATACATATCTATCCAATAGTATAATAACAACACAAGGTATCTAACTTTGAATTACACGGAGTACCCCTCCCCTAGAAGGCAGTGTCTATATGCACGACCGTTGTGCACTTACCTTTTCAACGGCTATTCGCACCACAGGCACCTGAATTTTTATCAATAAGTCGCTAATTAAGCCAAATATTGAAAAATTCTACCCCCTCTATATATAAATACACAAGGTGTGCAAAGCCATTTTGACCCCCTCCTCGATTCAGGCTTGAATTTAACACATAAATTGGATATGCCTACCGGTTTGCGTTTAGCATTGGGTTCAAATATGATATTTCTCGCCATACATTTCTTACTAAAGTTTAAATCCAACGCTTTTATAATGCTTACAACTAAAATTCAAGCAAACTTCGAATTTCGTCCCAAGGCCCGATCGCCATCAGCTGACGTCACGGAAATGACGCCAAAATGGCGTTGCACACCTTGTGTATTTATATATAGAGGGGGTAGAATTTTTCAATATTTGGCTTAATTAGCGACTTATTGATAAAAATTCAGGTGCCTGTGTTCGCACGACCGTCGTGTACATAATTTTTCAGTGGCTATTTGCACGACCGTCGTGTATATAAATTTTTCAATGACTATTTGCACGACCGTTGTGTTTTTTATTTATAATATTTATCAGCTGGTCGCACGACCATTATATATTTATTCATACCATCACTTATTATGGCATTCGAAGTTCGGAACGCAGTAATTAAAGTACAAAAAGACATTTTGGCGAAAAAACATCGCAAATACTTTCTTTCGTGATATTGATTTATATAATAATATTAATTGACATTTAGGTCCAATGGGCAGGTCGTTGTAATGTAAATTTGTTTCTATTAGAACTACCCTTGTATTTCTATTTGATTAATAAAATAGTTGCTTACTATTTTGGTAGTCCTGGGTTTACCCTATCCATCTCAACCCACATCCCACATCCCACGAGAGCCAGGACCCATTTAAAAGCATTTCGCCTACTTTAGTACTGATTTCTTAATACACTTTTTAACCAAATAAAAATTGTCATTAGACCTTACTTAACTTAGTTTTATACAGTTATACACATGAAATTTCAAATTAAACAATAATCATGATAATGATATTTAAATGTTAATATATATAGTTCCCAAAATACACTATTAAATAAAAATCACCAAGTTTGTATGGAGTATGTAGTAAATATTGACGTGTGTATCTAAACGATGATAAACTGTTGATATTTAAGACCACAGGTGCTTAGA